AGTGTGCTTGTCAGTCTGGGGTTGACTGCTGCAACAGGCAGTGTGCTTGTCAGTCTGGGGTTGACTGCTGCAGCAGGCAGTGTGTGTTTCCTGTGAAGGATAATGTAAATAATAATTTTATTATTCTCCCTAAGTCATTAAATGTAGCAATATTACAGCATAAACATAGTTTTTACATGTAACCTGAATTTCTTTAGTACCTAGGAAATGTATTTGGTTTTAGACTTATTACATTTTTAACTATATACTTTTATTTATGTTCTATTATTTTTTATATATTTACCAGGCCTACTGAAGGGTCAGTGATAAAAATCACATAGGCTGCACACAGTGGCTCACGCCTGAAATCCTAGCACTCTGGCAGGCCAAGGCAGGTAGATCACCTGAGCTCACAAGTTCAAGACCAGCCTAAGCCAGAGTGAGACCTTATCCCTAAAAGTAGCTGGGCTTTGTGGTGAGCACCTGTGGTCCCAGCTACTCAGGAGGCTGAAGAAAGAGAATAGCTTGAGTCCAAAAGTTTGAGGTTGCTATGAGCTGTGGTGCCATGGCATTCTACCAAGGGTAAAAAAGTGAAACTCTGCCTCAAGATAAATAAATAAGTAAAAATCATACACTAGTGCCTGCAGTGAACAAGAAGCCTGCAAATGGTTGGTGAGACTTTTTTCCAAAGCCCTTGTAGGGATTCCCGTTGTCCCTGGGTGGTGCTGACACGCAGAGCCGTCAGCAAGATGTCTTCTGCTGTGCTGTTGGGAGACTCCAGTGTGGTATCATGGTATCCCTCATGGAATCAAGATAGCTGCAGTATCTGCCTTGTCCTTTGTTTTTTTGTTTTGAGGATTTCAAGATAAAGTACAGATAACTCAGTGACACACTTTTTTTTATGCTAGGTACTTTTTATTTTTTGAAAAAATCTTTTGATGGTAAGTAGTGTTTCTAAAAGACAAAATCTCCTTCTTCTTGGAAATATGCTAGGTTTTCCTTCTATTCATATCCTTGATTTATGTAGTACTTGCTCAATATGTTTCTTCTTTTTTTTTTAGACAGAGTCTCACTTTGTTGCCCTATGTAGAGTGCTGGGGTATCATAACTCACAGCAACCTCACCTGGGCTCAAATGTTTCTCTTGCCTCAGCCGCCCAAGTAGCTGGGCTTACAGATACCCGCCACGATGCCTAGCTGGTTTTTTTTATTTTGAGTAGAGATATGTTCTCTTGCTCAGGCTGATCTTGAACTCATGAGCTCAAGCAATTGATCCGTCTTGGCCTCCCACAGTGCTAGAAGTACGCCATGCCCACCTCTAAGTGTGTTTCTTCATAAATGTTAACTAAATTTGTTTTCATGACACTAAAGTGGAACTTTGAGATTTTAGATTATTTTATGTATTTAGTAAGGTGGGGCAGACATAACAACACTCATACTTTGTTTAACGACACTTATTTTAGGCACCTGAAAACCCTCTTAAAAACCATTATTTCACAACCTGGTTTCTTAAGCTGCTGTGTTAAGGAATTAGTGTATATTTCTTAAAATGCTTAGTTGCTAAAGACTGGAGATTACTAACAGACCTTTCAGAAACAAATTTCGTTGTTGGGGTAAGGATGAGCTAACAGTGGTGCAGTCAATATTTACTTATCTTTTTTTTTTTTTTTTTTTTTTTGAGACACAGTCCCACTCTGTTGCTCTGGGTAGAGTGCCGTGGCATTTTCATAGCTCACAACAAACTCAAACTCCTGGGTTCAAGTCATCCTCTTGCCTTAGCCTCCTGAGTAGCTGGGACTAATATGTACCCACCAAGACACCCAGCTAATTTTTCTATTTTTAGTAGAGACAAGGTCTCAATCTTGCTTAGGCTGGTCTTTAACTGCTAAGCTCAAGCGATCCACCTGCCTCAGCCTCCTAGAGTTCTAGGATTATAGGCATGAGCCACTGCCCCAGCCTACTTACCTTTTATAACAATTTGTCTAATTAGAATTAGCTTTAAAGTGAAAAAGTACCTACCTGACACAAAGTAGGCTTATGTGGTGTAAAAATTAAGAGCTACTACAAATGCAGAAGCTGGGACAGAGAAAGTGTGGGCCTTGTCCAGGGCACAGAGTTTAGCAGGGACAAATGAGGGTTTGGAATCGGCAAACCGTCTCCTTCAACAAGATGATGATGCATTTAGTGGAGCAAAAGTTAAAATTGATTCACCTGCCAGTGCTATTATTTCCAGTGCTCAATCTGTGAGCCCACATCTCTGAGGATGCAGCCAGTGTCAGCCCATGCCTCCTGGATGTTCTGGAGCCTTGGTGCCTTGTTACAGGAAGAGCTCAGTGCAGAGAATATCCCAGGGACACAGTAGATTGTCGTTATGTGTTATCCCCATTTATGGCAGGTTGTTTGTGTCCTTCCCACACTAAAATGAAGGAGAGAAGCATAACTCTACCTGAGGTCTTCAGAGCCATTTCTAGCACAACTATCAAGTCCTTGTGGTGGCTGGTCCTCATGGGCTCTTGCCCAGTAACAGATAAAACCACAGAGGAATTAATGGTTTCTACTCGCATTTTCTGAAGCAACTAAGTGAGCATGATGGAATCTGAGGAAAAACAAAAGAATATAGGAAATGTGGGGTGGTAACAATCTTTCTAATGGGATCTGTAGCCCTTCATGGCCTACATCACGTAGGAACTCCTCAATGTGGGCGCCACAAGACTTTGCCCCTCAGACCTACCCATCCAGTTATCCCCCTCAGTTGTTGCACAGGCTGAGCTCACTCTGTCCCCCAGTCTCTTTGATCATGACTTGTCACATTCCCTGAATGGTTCTCCCTCCTCTGTTCTCTCAGCCTCTCAACGTGACAAACATTCTTCAAGTCCTACCAGAGCAGGTGTATTCCCAAGGTCTTCCAGCCCACGTTAGCCTGTATATCTAAAGTTCTACTGAATTTATCAAATTAGTATCGTGTAGTTCAGCCCTTAACCATTGTAGAGTTTCTGTATCGTCGCATGTGCGTTAGATTTTTGGATCTCTTGCCAGCTACATCTGGAAAGTGTGGTAGGGCTGTCCCATGTTTTACTGTTGCTCCTTAGCACAGTATGGCACTTAAGACAGACTCACCAGTGCCTTGTTGGTAGAGTTCCCCAACATGGGTGTGGCATTTCATGAATAATCTTGGGGGGGGGTTAAAAGGTGAAAAAATACAGAAGCAATTTTAAAACATTTTACAAGTGGTTTTAAAATAATTTCTTTATTCAGCAAATATTTATCAAATACCTATTATATACCAGGCCCCAGGAATCCAGTAACTGTGAGTTGGTCCCTACCTAAAACACTTCATTCTCTTCTGTTAGGGAAGGTTTGTAACTGATCACAATGCAGTGAGCTCTATGAGGAAGGCAGAATTCACAGGGAAAGTGTTCTAATCAGATTTTGAAACATAAATAGGTGATTATCCAACAAACAAGAGAAGAAAGAAAATTCATCCAGACAAGGGTCTAGAACACACTGACATGGAAGTGTGAGCAGTTCTGTGAGAACGTCAGAGCTCCCTCCATGTCAGTGCTCTGTCCTGTGTCGTGTATTTGAGGCCAAATCAATGAAAGCTTGGATATTATTATAGAGGTCAACTCAGGTCAGGGTCATTTTTTTTTCCCCAGAGACAGAGTCTGGCCTGATCACCCTCAGTAGAGTGTCGTGGCATCACAGCTCATAGCAACTTCCAGCTCTTGGGCTTAGGTGATTCTCTTGCCTCAACCCCCCAAGTAGCTGGGACTACAGCCCCCCGCCACAACACC